TTCCACAAAGCAGCAGTTCTTAGGAAGAAGTCTGAGTGGAACTTACTCCTTACAAATGGAATAGGAAGGGAACACAGATTTTTCATTCTTGTGTATATAAGACAAGGGGTACCAGAAATGTAGCTTGTGGAATATATGTGCATGTATACTGATGTTTCCCATTATAAGGGCCAAGAGCCACTCAAGGTAGAGATTACTGTGTGGTGTTGTATGAATATATGCCATGGAAATACCAATAGAGTAACAAGAAGCTCATGTCGTTTTGTCTGTGGGAAAGGGATATATATATATATATATATATATCCATTATAAGAACCAAGGAAAGGGATATATATATATATATATATATATATATATATATATATATATATATATATATATATATATAAATATATATAATCATATATATATATATATATATATATATATATATATATATATATATATATATATATATATATATATATATAATTATATCCATTATAAGGGCCAAGAGCCACTCAAGGTAGAGGTTACTGTGTGGTGTTGTATCAACATATGCCATAGAAATAGCAATAGAGTAACAAGAAGCTCATGTTTTTGTATTTGGGAAAGGGATATATATATATATATATATATATATATATATATATATATATATATATATATATATATTTTCCTTGTTCTTTGTTATTTTTATTTTTTTAATATGCCCTTAGAGCCACTCAAGGTAGAGGGTTACTGTGTCGTGTTATATGAGAGCAAGAAATGGTAAGAATTGAAGTTCTTTAGGTTATGTAGGAAAGATAAGTGTTAGCTCTAGACTTGAAGAGGGTCAAGATTTTAGTGATTGGGAAAACATCCTACCAGGAGCATGTTCCACAAAGAAACAGTCCTTGGGAAGAAGTTTTCTGAGTGGAACTTACTCCTTACTAATGGAATACAAAAAGAAAGGAAGATGATACATGCTTGTGTATGTGGCATGCAAATGTCAGGACTAGTGGAACCAAGGAATGTAGTTCATCAGTTCATTTGCAATGGAAGTAACCTTTACCAAAAGAAAGAACCTTCCTCTACATTCTCCATCTTATATAACTATCTTCCCTTAACAGCATGTAGCTGATCAGAACATTTGCCATGGAAATAGCTTTTGTTAAAATAAAGATCAGTCTTAATTCTAGTCTTATGTGTCTCCTTCTCCATCTTACATAATTATCTTCCATTAAAGGAATATAGCTGATCAGAACATTTGAAATGGAAATAGCTTTATCAAAAGAGAGATCATTCCTCTAGATTCTCCATCTTATATAACTATCTTCCATTAAAGGAATATAGCTCATTAGAACATTTGCAATGGAAATAGCTTTATCAAAAGAGAGATCATTCCTCTAGATTCTCCATCTTATATAACTATCTTCCATTAAAGGAATATAGCTCATTAGAACATTTGCAATGGAAATAGCTTTATCAAAAGAGAGATCATTCCTCTAGATTCTTCATCTTATATAACTATCTTCCATTAAAGGAATATAGCTCATTAGAACATTTGCAATGGAAATAGCTTTATCAAAAAGAGATCATTCCTCTAGATTCTTCATCTTATATAACTATCTTCCATTAAAGGAATATAGCTCATTAGAACATTTGCAATGAAATAGCTTTATCAAAAAGAGATCATTCCTCTAGATTATCCATCTTATATAACTATCTTCCATTAAAGGAATATAGCTCATTAGAACATTTGCAATGGAAATAGCTTTATCAAAAGAGAGATCATTCCTCTAGATTCTTCATCTTATATAACTATCTTCCATTAAAGGAATATAGCTCATTAGAACATTTGCAATGGAAATAGCTTTATCAAAAGAGAGATCATTCCTCTAGATTATCCATCTTATATAACTATCTTCCATTAAAGGAATATAGCTCATTAGAACATTTGCAATGGAAATAGCTTTATCAAAAGAGAGATCATTCCTCTAGATTCTTCATCTTATATAACTATCTTCCATTAAAGGAATATAGCTCATTAGAACATTTGCAATGGAAATAGCTTTATCAAAAGAGAGATCATTCCTCTAGATTCTTCATCTATATATAACTATCTTCCATTAAAGGAATATAGCTCTTTAGAACATTTGCAATGGAAATAGCTTTATCAAAAGAGAGATCATTCATCTAGATTCTCCATCTTATATAACTATCTTCCATTAAAGGAATATAGCTCATTAGGACATTTGCAATGGAAATAGCTTTATCAAAAGAGAGATCATTCCTCTAGATTCTCCATCTTATATAACTATCTTCCATTAAAGGAATATAGCTCATTAGAACATTTGCAATGGAAATAGCTTTATCAAAAGAGAGATCATTCCTCTAGATTCTCCATCTTATATAACTATCTTCCATTAAAGGAATATAGCTCATTAGAACATTTGCAATTGAAATAGCTTTATCAAAAGAGAGATCATTCCTCTAGATTCTCCATCTTATATAACTATCTTCCATTAAAGGAATATAGCTCATTAGAACATTTGCAATGGAAATAGCTTTATCAAAAGAGAGATCATTCCTCTAGATTCTCCATCTTATATAACTATTCTCCATTAAAGGAATATAGCTCATTAGAACATTTGCAATGAAAATAGTTTTATCAAAAGAGAGATCATTCCTCTAGATTCTCCATCTTATATAACTATCTTCCATTAAAGGAATATAGCTCATTAGAACATTTGCAATGGAAATAGCTTTATCAAAAGAGAGATCATTTCTCTAGATTCTCCATCTTATATAACTATCTTCCATTAAAGGAATATAGCTCATTAGAACATTTGCAATGAAAATAGTTTTATCAAAAGAGAGATCATTCCTCTAGATTCTCCATCTTATATAACTATCTTCCATTAAAGGAATATAGCTCATTAGAACATTTGCAATGGAAATAGCTTTATCAAAAGAGAGATCATTCCTCTAGATTCTTCATCTTATATAACTATCTTCCATTAAAGGAATATAGCTCATTAGAACATTTGCAATGGAAATAGCTTTATCAAAAGAGAGATCATTCCTCTAGATTCTCCATCTTATATAACTATCTTGCATTAAAGGAATATAGCTCATTAGAACATTTGCAATGGAAATAGCTTTATCAAAAGAAAGATCATTCCTCTAGATTCTTCATCTTATATAACTATCTTCCATTAAAGGAATATAGCTCTTTAGAACATTTGCAATGGAAATAGCTTTATCAAAAGAGAGATCATTTCTCTAGATTCTCCATCTTATATAACTATCTTCCATTAAAGGAATATAGCTCATTAGAACATTTGCAATGGAAATAGCTTTATCAAAAGAGAGATCATTCCTCTAGATACTTCATCTTATATAACTATCTTCCATTAAAGGAATATAGCTCATTAGAACATTTGCAATGGAAATAGCTTTATCAAAAAGAGCATCGATCATTCCTCTAGATTCTTCATCTTATATAACTATCTTCCATTAAAGGAATATAGCTCATTAGAACATTTGCAATGGAAATAGCTTTATCAAAAGAGATCATTCCTCTAGATTCTCCATCTTATATAACTATCTTGCATTAAAGGAATATAGCTCATTAGAACATTTGCAATGGAAATAGCTTTATCAAAAGAAAGATCATTCCTCTAGATTCTTCATCTTATATAACTATCTTCCATTAAAGGAATATAGCTCTTTAGAACATTTGCAATGGAAATAGCTTTATCAAAAGAGAGATCATTTCTCTAGATTCTCCATCTTATATAACTATCTTCCATTAAAGGAATATAGCTCATTAGAACATTTGCAATGGTAATAGCTTTATCAAAAGAGAGATCATTCCTCTAGATTCTCCATCTTATATAACTATCTTCCATTAAAGGAATATAGCTCATTAGAACATTTGCAATGGAAATAGTTTTAGCAAAAGAGAGATCATTCCTCTAGATTCTCCATCTTATATAACTATCTTCCATTAAAGGAATATAGCTCATTAGAACATTTGCAATGGAAATAGCTTTATCAAAAAGAGATCATTCCTCTAGATTCTCCATCTTATATAACTATCTTCCATTAAAGGAATATAGCTCATTAGAACATTTGCAATGGAAATAGCTTTATCAAAAGAGAGATCATTCCTCTAGATTCTCCATCTTATATAACTATCTTCCATTAAAGGAATATAGCCCATTAGAACATTTGCAATAGAAATAGATTTATCAAAAGAGAGATCTTTCCTCTAGATTCTCCATCTTATATAACTATCTTCCATTAAAGGAATATAGCTCATTAGAACATTTGCAATGGAAATAGCTTTATCAAAAGAGAGATCATTCCTCTAGATACTTCATCTTATATAACTATCTTCCATTAAAGGAATATAGCTCATTAGAACATTTGTAATGGAAATAGCTTTATCAAAAGAGAGATCATTCCTCTAGATTCTCCATCTTATATAACTATCTTCCCTTAAAAGAATGTAGCTGATCAGAACATTTGCCATAGAAATAGCTTTTATTAAAATAAAGTTCAGTCTTACTTCTAGTCTTATGTGTTTCCTTCTTCAAGCTTATATAACTATCTTCCTCTTTCAGATTCCAAAAGCAAAATTCTCCAGTGAATAGAAATCTTGAAGCAAGTAGACATTTTTTTTTTCAGTAAAATGGCTGTCAATATCTACTGCTTTCATTCTTAAGTTGCAACCTTTCTGCTTTTTATTTATACATTTATTCGTGATAATTTTACCCTTTCCCCATCTCTTAATCTCGGGGAAAACTAATCAAATATGGATAAACATGAATTTTGGAGCCGAAAGCAATGAAAGCAGAGACAATCCTCTTCATGTTTCTCTTTCTATATAAAGGTCATAAAAATAGTAATGAGAATAATTTGGATAAATTTTTTTCCATGGAAAGGAGATTACACTACAATATTTAACCTATTAACCCGAAAAGTGCCTTAAGATCAAATTTATTTACAATTCAGAAGAGTAAAATTTAAATATGCTGAAAGGTTATTGCTCTTCAGAGTAAAAAATATATATTTGCTCCTCTCTGTCTCTTTTTCTCTTTTATATATATATATATATATATATATATATATATATATATATATATACAAGTATAGGACTGATGTATATGGAATAAATTCAAATAACTAGAAATAGTAAATATATATATATATATATATATATATATATATATATATAAAACTTTTATCTGCATATTTATCTCAGTCAGTTCATATCTATCTATCAATCTATCTATCTGTCTTCATATCTATCTATCTATCTTCATAGTTATCTATGTTCATATATATCAGTCAGTTCATATCTATCAACCGATCTATCTTTCTTTATGTCTACCTATCTATATATTGATCTATCTCTGTTCATATCTATCTATCTATCTATCTATCTATCTATCTATCTATCTATCTATCTTATTCTGTTCATTATCTATCTATCTATCTATCTATCTATCTATCTATCTATCTTATTCTGTTCATTATCTATCTATCTATCTATCTATCTATCTATCTATCTATCTATCTATCTTCATATCTATCTATCTATCTATCTATCTATCTATCTATCTTATTCTGTTCATTATCTATCTATCTATCTATCTATCTATTTATCTTCATATCTATCTGTCTATCGTTCTATCTATCTTCATATCTATCTATATCAATCAGTTCATATCTATCAACCGAGCTATCTTTCTTCATGTCTATCTATCTATATATTGATCTATCTGTCTGTTCATATCTATCTATCTATCTATCTATCTATCTATCTATCTATCTCATTCTGTTCATTATCTATCTATTGTTACAGTTTTTTGTGTATATTATATGTAACTAGTGAGCGAGTCAAAATGACTTATTTCCCTTTATAGTCGACCAATAGAAGGTTGACCAATCAGAAGCTGCCCAACATTGTATCCGTCGTGTATAAAGGCGGCCATCTTTGTTTTCTCACCGGAAGGGCCAGAGGAAACTTGTCCGGCAAACATGACAGACGGAAGAACTATGCTCTGCTACCTTGCTGTGATATCCACTGCGAACCTGCACTACGCTTTCCTACTGTCTTCGAAATATTCACTGCCAACCACTCGATTCTATACTCGAAGACGACCGTCATGAAAATGTCTAACATCTATCTATCTATCTATCTCATTCTCTTCATTATCTATCTATCTATCAATCTCATTCTGTTCATTATCTATCTATCTATCTATCTATCTATCTATCTATCTCATTCTGTTCATTACCTATCTATCTATCTATATTCATATTCATCTCATTCTATTCCTAATATATTATGGTATATAGAGATGAACGTTGGGCTAATACATAAGTAAGGTCAAATTTATAGTACCATTTTATTGTCAGCTCCATTTGGTTACAGTGGTTAAAGTGGTTGACTCTTGTCTTAGTCCTTTTGTTATTTGAGAGTTCATACAGCATTGTGTTTTTTGGTTGATACATATTAATCTGTTGAATTCATCCTTTCTTCTTCTTCTTTTCCTTCTGAAGTTGTACATACAGTCAAACTCCAGCCAATCAATGTCATTGGTTGATTTTTTTATGACATTCACTGACCCACATAGGCTATGTCCGGGTTCTGTCAGTTACCGAGGAGAGGAACAATAGAAGGAATGAAATGAAATATGTGCAATAGAGAAAAGAGATAGAGAGAGTTTTCTTTGTCACTCTCTCAGTGAAAAGGAAAGTGTATATTTCCACATTGTGTTACTAATACGTAGTCCTACTATAATATCTATATATCTATCGACATCTTTCTCTGTATATATTAGTATTAGACATTCATTTATCTCACTAGATAATGATAGAACTGTATTTAGTCAAAATTTATGTAGCCTCTCTTTGGTGATTGTAGATGGAGGCCATGAAACATTAATAATGAGCATGAAGAGAAAAAAGTAATCAAGAAGACAATAGATAGCGATTGACATTTCATTTAAATTTTTGCAGATTAAAGTTGATTGGAAAGCATGGAACAGGAAGAGAGTTCCACAAGAAATGTGAGAAAAGAAATTGTTAGCATAGAATTTATAGCGACATCTAGCCAGCTGAAATGTACATTGATGAGATCTCAACACCAATCTAGTCTAGTCTGTCTTTCTTCTTTTCATGTGTCATGTCCTTTCAGGGCGTAAGTGATCATGGCTCTCTCCAGCTCCCTCTATCCCTTGCAGCTCTCAACAAGTTCCTTCTCTCTGCTTCCTCCCCCATTCTGTCATCCACTTGCTTAAGTCCGCCAGGTATATCACGTGTTGTTTTCCCTTGACCCTCTTTCCCTCTATACGATCCGTGAGTATCAGATTTTTTAGGCCTCATTATGTGTCCCAAAAACTTCATCTGCCTCTTCCTGATATTAAGTATAAGCCTCCTCCTTGTTTGCAACCTCTCTAAAATCTCATCGTTGCTCACACGCTCGGTCCATGTACTGCGATTAAATTCAACAAGTCTAGATATCATAGCAAAGAACTCAACAGAACAGTCACCATGAAATTATTTATAGAAAAGACACAAAGCAGCTGGTTGTGTGTCTCCAGCGGTCCACCTTTAACTGTCTGATCTTGGTTTGGAAATATATATATATATATATATATATATATATATATTTATATATATATATATATATATATATATATATATATATATATATATATATATATATATATGTGTGTGTGTGTATATATATATATATATATATATATAAATAAATAAATATATATATATATATATATATATATATATATATGTATTAATAATCCAAAAGTTTTAAATAATTGCTATGAGTAGAAAATCACTTATTGTAAAATTATTGAAAACTCGAAAAACAATTATAAGGCCATTTAAAATAAGAGCATTGCAAGTTAAAATAATTTAAATCAACAATTGCTTAAAATTTTATAAATTATTATTAATAACTCACCAGCATTTGAGCATAACAAAATTGACATAAACTATGCCTTCAGGTTATAAAATTAAGTGAATTTGAAAAAGGTCAAATAATCACACTCAAAAATGAAAATTTGAGTAATAGAGAAATTGCCATTAGGATTAAGCATTGAAAAACAGTTATTAACAACTTTTTATCAAACACAGAAGAATATGGACCCAGGAAAAAAGCCAGAAGAAGCAAGAAATTAAGTGACAGATATGTCAGAGCAATCAAAAATGAAGCAAGCTATGTCGTCACATTGTGTTCCAAGATCCAGACAACTCTGGAATTGAGTATTTCATGCTGGACGTTTTGGAGAGAATTTAACAGATCATCTGAGTTTAGTTATGGCAAGCTTATAAATGCTCCATGTTTGACTGAGCACCATATGTCAGGGTGCTTCAATTGGGCCAAAGCTCATATGACTTGGGACAAGCAATGGGAAGATGTGGCATTTTCAGATGAAAATAATTCTGTTGGGGATTTTCCTAGACTTGATGAATTACTTAATTATGATTTCCCCTTCCCTGGATTGAGCTCTCTCAGTCATTGGCGTATTTATTCACAGAATAAGTATGTAAAAATTTTCTTTTCTTTCAGTTGTGTGCCAATGTCTTAGGGGGAAAATGTTGCCAAATCAGTTGGGTTTCAATCCTGGCTTGAAGGAATTGGATGTCTATCCATGCTGATGATCTGCAAAACAGTCTGTCTGTGGATGACAATACGTTTTTTTTTTAAATTTTTATTTTTATATATATATATATATAAAATTTAAAAAAAAGTATTGTCATTCATTGTCATCCATATATATATATATATATATATATATATATATATATATATATATATATATATATATATCCATTTATTCCTTTATTTACATTCCTCTATACTGATATTTTCTTTCAATCTTTCTTTTTTTGAATTTTGCTTTTTTTTCTTTCTTTTTTCTTTTCATTTTCTTCACTTTTTATTTTTAATTTCTTTCTGTCTCGACTTTTCTTTTTTACAATAATTTATTTTTATTTCTTTTTTACACTAATTAATTATTTTTATTTTATTTATCTCTTTCTTTATTTTTCTTTATATTTTTCCTTATTTACATTTTCTTTCAATCTTTTCCTCTTTTTCTTTTATGAAGTTAACAATCTCTTCTTTCTTTCCTCCATTTTTCTTTGCTTTCTTCTTCGTTCTTTATCACCCTTTTTTCCACTTTTTTAATACCTGTTTGTTTCTTTATTTCTTTTCCATTCCTTTCTTTTTCTTTCTCTTCTTTTTCTTTATCTATAATTTCTTTGGTTATTTCTTTCTTTTTATTCTTTTTATTGATATTTCCTTTCAATCTTTTCTCTGTCTCTTTTTTGAATTTCACTTTTTCTTCTTTCTTTCTCTCTCTAGTTAACTTATTTTTCCACATTATTTCTTTCTTTTATTAATAAACTTTTTCTTTACTTCATGCTCCTTTATTGATATTTTCTTTCTGTCTTTTACGCTCTTTCTTTACGAAACTGAATTTTTTTTCTTTCTTCTATTTTTCCCACTTTCTCTATTCCTTTCTTTTTCTCTTTTTCTCTTTCTTTCTTTCTTTCTTTCTTTTTTTCTTTATTCTTTTATTTATTCATTGTCCTTCTTTTCCCACTTGTGATTTTCTCCCCTCCTTTTTCAAATTTCATTTTTACTTCTTTCTTTCTTTTCATTTTTACCACTTTCTACGTTTGTTTTTTTCTAATTTTTCTCTCTTTCTTTCTTTCTTTCTGTTTTTTCTTTGTTTTCTTTCTGTTCTTCTTCCTTCATTTCTGTTTGTTTTTCTGATTTTCTTTCTGTTTTCTTTCTCTCTGTTTTTCTTTCTGTTTTTCTTTCTTTTAGTTTTTCTTTCTTTCAGTTTTTCTTGCTTTTTCTGTTTTGGTTTCTTTTTTCTGTATTTCTTTTTTTCTGTTTTTTCATTCTTTTCTATTTTTATTTCTTTCTGTTTTTCTTCCTTTCAGTTTTTCTTTCTTTTTTTCTTTCTGTTTTTCCTTTCCTTTTTGTATTTCTTTCTTTTAGTTTTTCTTTCTTTCAGTTTTTCTTGCTTTTTCTGTTTGCTATCTTTTTTCTGTATTTCTTTCTGTTTTTCTTTCTTTTATATTTTTCTTTCTTTCTGCTTTTCCTTTCTTTCTGTTTTTCTTTCTTTTAGTTTTTCTTTCTTTCAGTTTTTTCTTGCTTTTTCTGTTTTTCTATCTTTTTTCTGTATTTCTTTCTGTTTTTCTTTCTTTTCTATTTTTCTTTCTTTCTGCTTTTTCTTTCTTTCAGTTTTTCTTTCTTTCTGTTTTTCTTTCTTTTAGTTTTTCTTTCTTTCAGTTTTTTTTCTTTTTCTGTTTTTCTATCTTTTTTCTGTATTTCTTTCTGTTTTTCTTTCTTTTCTATTTTTCTTTCTTTCTGTTTTTTCTTTCTGTTTTTCTTTCTTTCAGTTTTTCTTTCTTTTCTATTTTTCTTTCTTTCTGTTTTTCTTTCTTTTTGTTTTTCTTTCTTTTTTGTATTTCTTTCTTTTTTTTTTCTTTCTTACTTTCTATTTTTCTTCCTTTCCGCTTTTCTTTCTGCTTTTCTTTCTTTCTGTTTTTCTTTCTTTCTGTTAATTCCACATTCACCATTTCTTTTTTGCATCACACCTTCATTCTGCATAGAATAAGATTTCTATCATTCCCTCCTTGCATTCTGGTCCTCGGCAACCATTTGCATCTCTCAGACAAATTCAGACAATGCCTGTACAATAATTTTGTCGCCATATAGAACAAGATCAGTGCCATGAGGAATTTTCAGCAGACACTCCTTAAGCCCAGTGATTCTGGCCTGGAGATGAACTAACCTGATAGACCATATTTTATTCCAATGTGACTCAATTCAGCCATAACTTTTCTGAAGATGTTACCTCTTCAACACTTTATTCCATACCGAACCAAAAGAGTAGGAGAAGTTCTAAAAACTAGAATGTCCTTAGAACTGTACAAATGTCATTGGAATCATAAAAGTTAAGCAACATCAAAACTGGTCATTTTAGATTTTGACAGCTCACAAATTGATGGAAGCAGAAAGCAAAAGTCGTTAGTGTCAAGTGCTTCTAAGGATTAAAGAGACAAATATCTAGCCAGGTTTTAATGAAAAATGGTCAGCAAGGAAGAATTCTAAGGATGGATTTTGGATTATGCTTGCTATCATCGGATCTTTCCAATTATCCATGGTAAGTTGGATTTATTCATTCACATCAAAATTTCCTGTATAATCACCAGATAATCTACTACAGATAAAAAGGACACTTGAAGCAAGAGAAACAAAGAAAAGAGTACTGAATTGTGATGTAACATCTGTCCTCCTATATGACAGTGAATGCTGAACAATCTCCTCACAGATGAAGAGGAGACTGAAAGCAACAGAAATTTAGTTCTACAGGAAGTTTTACAAGGACATTTTGTGGATAATGAAAACAAAAGGACACATATATTTAGAATAAAAAAGAAGCAGTTGAAATTTCATGATGAGAAAAGAAGACTTGGTGAAGTTGATACTCAAAGGATATATTAATCGTAAGATAAACAGAGGGAAATAGTGATCTACCTAAACAGCTCAGTCCTGGGTATGACGATAGACTACATCTGATAGCAAGTTAGATTTATTCATTCACATCAAAATTTCCTGTATAATCACCAAAGTTAAGCAACATCGAGCCTGGTCAGAGCCTAGATAGGTGACCACTTGGGAATACCAGGTGCTGTAAACTTTGCTGTGCATGTGTTGTAATGGATAATGGCTCAGAATTGTTAATCAGAGAGCTGAGTTCTAATTCCCGTTGGACTTGTTGTATTCACTTACACATAAATACCCTTGGGAAAAGTAGGAATCAACCTTTTCTTTCCCTTTCCCCACCACAGCTATGAGTAATAAGACTTGTATCACTAAATCATTATCTTCAAAAAAGTTAAGCAATGTCAAGACTCATCAGTGCTTAGACTGGTGACCACTTAGGAATAGCAATTGCTGTAAACTTGGATGTGCAGGTGGTGTAATGGATAATGGCTGAGGATTTTTATTTGGAGAGCTGAGTTTCAATCCTCATTGGGTTCGTTATATTCACTTATGCTCAAATACACTTGGGAAAGGTACAAATCCACCTCTTCTGCTCCAGCTATTGGTTAATTAAAGCAATTAAAGAATCAGGCCAGGGACAGAACAAGAACAGTGCAGATTCATTAAAGACTCTCAGTAGTCAGAGACATATTGGCCTCTGATGCATCCCTCGAAGAATGGACCAGTATTCCAATAGATAATCTGATGGAGATGTTGACTTTCTGTACACAAACAACACACTTCGGAATGGGATCACACATATATCGACAGGATGAGGGCTTAGCAATGGGCTTACCATTATCACCAGCAATGGCAAATATATACATGGAATACTTTGAGGAAATGGCATTAGAATCTATATCTCTAAAGCCAACTATATGGTTAAGGTACGTAGATGTCACCTCTAAGTGTTGACTTCAATGTTCACTTTTTATGTATATATATATATATATATATATATATATATATATATATATATATATAAATGACCAACAATATGTTTTATAGTAAAATTATCAACAATATATTTCATAGAAATGTTCACTTTTTATATATATATATATATATATATATATATATATATATATATATATATATATATGTGAAAAGTGTGTGTATATAAATATAAAATATATATATATATATATATACATAATTATTTATATATTATATGTATTATTATTAAGCGCTCAATATCAGAGATAGAACTAACATATTTGGTTGGATAGATGTGAGTTTGTGACCCTAGGTTTCAAACTTTAGTGATCGTCAGACAAAAGCGTGAAAATATATATATATATATATATATATATATATATATATATATATATATATATATATATATATATGTATGTATAAATGACTGACAATATGTTTCATAGTAAAATTATCAACAATATATTTCATAGAAAATTGACCAATACATCTTCTGTAGTTGAAGGCATACATTTAAGCAAAATATTTAGATTTCAGAATTAAATAACCCATAGAGGTTGATATGCCACTAAACAAAATCAAGCAATCACCCTAAAAAGCTTATATAAACCGCAGAATTGGGAGTGGGACGGATAGTGAAATGACAAATCTTACTAAGAGATACAGAGGATAGGACGTTATGGAGACCCATGATCACCTACCTAAACAGCTTGTGTAAATGGATGTCAGAACCGGAAGTGGGAGAGATGGTGGAAAGACAAATCTTTCAAAGAGCTGCAAAGGAGAGGAAGTTTTGGCAAGACATCCTGTCACAATAAAAAACAACAACAATTGATAAATTGATTGAATCATTGATTCATTTTTTATGGCTTATCAACCCTCTGTGGGTTATTTAAAGCTGGAACATATTTTGGATTTTAAGAAGTAATTCTTTTTGCATTAGCAATTATTCTGGCAAGAGGATATCAAACAATAAATATTTCTAGAAGTGAATATTTGAAATCAGATATCATGATATTTTTTACCATCCACGATTGTGTAATATCTCAATTTCCTGAGAAATTGTAGATGAAAAATGACACACTGTTTGAAGGAACTTTGGCTGTAAGGCATAAGGTCTGGAGAAAGGCAGCTATTGTTTTCCTGTGATGTTTTGTGGCTAATTTTTGCACAGAGGTTGCACAAACTTTGAAAAGAAAGAAAGCGAAGGCAAATGTGTGAAATTACAAAAGTTGTCAGTGAAAGGTTAAAAGTTACTTAGAACAATAAAAGATAGGATGTTGTAGGGGCCATAGTCGCCTATCTTCTGAAAGGTTAGAGTTCATAAAAAAAGAACTAAATTTACCTTGAGTTTGCGTTTCATTATTTTCTCATTAAAAGAACAAACACCAATTTTGCCATTCCAATAAAATTAATAGAACAGAGATATTATTTTATTTAAAATATCTTAAGAAATTCAAGCAACTCCAAACAATTGACAATGCAAATGACAGACAATTATATATATATATATATATATGAAGAAAAATATACTCAAAAAAAAACGAACAAAAATCTTAATATGCGATTATGCAGTTTTAATGTTTAATGTCAACGTCGGACGTTTCGGTCTAATAGAACATCTTCAGGACATATTCATAAAACATAATTAACATTGACCATATACAATTCAACATGAAAAAGATGGACATAAAAGCAATACCAATCCAAACAGATAACTGAAATATTTTATAAGATCAGCGTTCCGTTTAAATATGATCACGTCGTCGTCACGTGGGCGATGTTGTGAAAACGTATTCTTAAAATTTGAGTATTTTGAAATGAAAAAATATATATATATATATATATATATATATATATATATATATATATATATATATTAAAATCTAAATTAGTGATGACCAATATAGTATTTCAATTTCAGCACCCAGTACAAGACTGTGTTTGTTGTCATAAATCAATTACCTATATCGTACAAACTACCACCTCCTTCAGTAGATGCTTCATGTGTCAGTTATCAGAACAAAAAGCCATGAACAGAAATATATCTAACTAAAATCTACAAAATCCCTTTAAAAAAATTATGGTTGAAAAGAATATAGTTTTATGTAAATCAATTTATCAAAAACTACTTGCTATAAGAGAGGCCCTGTACATCAAACATCTCTCCCTTGACATCAATCTCACCTTGTTTAACAATGGAAGCGGTGTGATGAAAGTCTTTTAAATATAGGAAGTCCCTCACTCAAATTCCAGCTATGCCTTAAATGCAAAATCTCAGAAAACACTCCTCCTCGTATTCAAAACCCACACAAATAATACACCTCACACAGTCAAAAACATTAACAAAACTAACAACACCAAAAAAAAAAACAACCTTGTTGAAAATGGCTACAGAAGTGGCCAAAAGCCCTTAGGGCAATGGAGGATAAGGATAATTTTTGTACTCGTTCACTCTCACCAAATGGAAAAATGAAAGAATACTGGAAAAACTAATTAAAAAATGATTAAAATTTTCCTTTTCTGTCATATTTAATGAAAGACGTTTAAAAGAAAGTTTGCTACCCAAATATACATTAATCAAATATATATATATATATATATATATATATATATATATATATATATATATATATATATATGTGTGTGTGTGTGTGTGTGTGTGTGTGCGTGTGTGTGTGGCCTGACGATTGCATCTAGCATGAAACAGACTGTCGCCTCTAAGTGTTGACTTCTATGTTCACTTTTATATATATATATATATATATATATATATATATATTCTCAATCTCTGATGAAGCCTTAATAAAGGTGAAACATGTTAGGCTGAGATTCGTTTCCTACTTTCTGTCTATATTTCTGAGATGAGGTATTATGTACCGTATTTACATTATTTGGACTAATGTCCTCATCTTTGTCGCCATATTTATTACATTTCGGCTGTTGTACGCTTCGGCCTTCTTCAGGTGGTTGAAATGTCGTACTGAACCCTATATTTCGCTCACTGGGGTAGACTGTTCTAGTTCCACGTGCCATGTTCTCAAGGACACATAGCACAGTGGATACAGGTACTAGTTAGTTAGATCCAGTGACAAGAGCCAAAGAGTGTGAGTTCAATACCCGGTTAAGTCGGTGGAGAACTTTCAGTGGGAATTAACCAG